GACAGCAACAGCAACAGCAGGTACGCGAGCAACAGCATGACTATCCTGAGTGCCAGATATGCTATAGACATCATCCAGGAGGTGCACGTGTCTGCTGGTGGCGCTATGAAGAGAATGATCAAGAAGAGAAGGAGGCGCATGCTGTCTCCTATGGCGTGGACACTAATTGGTACGCAGACAGTGCAGCAACAAATCACATCACAGGTGAACTTGACAAGCTGACAGTACGGGAGAAGTACAACGGAGGCGACCAAATTCGCACGGCAAGCGGTTCTGGTATGAATATCACCCACATTGGTAGTTCAATTGTTCAAAACCCCATGAAAAATTTGCACCTTAAAGATGTCTTGCATGTTCCTCAAACTTCCAAAAATCTTGTTTCTGTTCATCGATTCACCCTTGATAATAATGTTCTTATAGAATTCTATCCTCACTTTTTCTTGGTTAAGGATTTGAGCACAAGGAGAATCATTCTTAGAGGACGGTGCGTGGGAGGCCTCTATCCACTCATATCATCATCATCATCTTCATGGTCCAATAAACAAGCAAATATTGTTACCAAGCCATCATCATCAAGGTGGCATAATCGATTAGGTCATCCATCTTCAGTCATAGTTAAATATGTTCTTAGCAAAAATAAACTCTCTTATGAGAATAGTGTTGAGTCAGTTTGTGATCCGTGTCAACAAGCAAAAAGTCATCAATTACCCTATCCCATCTCTACTAGTGTGTCTACTGCTCCTCTACAACTTATATTTTCAGATGTATGGGGACCAGCCCCTACTTCAGTTGGGAGATTTTCTTACTATGTAAGCTTTATTGATGACTATAGTAAATTTACTTGGATTTACTTGTTAAAGAAACGGTCTGATGTATTCCAAGTCTTCATCAATTTTCAAAACCTTGTTGAACGCAAACTGAACTCCAAGATCATTGCTATGCAAAGTGACTGGGGTGGTGAGTATGAAAAATTGAACTCTTTCTTCCAAAAACTTGGTATTTCACATCATGTCTCTTGCCCTCATGCTCATCAACAAAACGGATCTGCTGAAAGAAAGCACCGTCACATAGTTGATATGGGGATAGCATTGCTAGCAAATGCATCCATGCCACTCAAATTCTGGGATGAAGCATTCTTAACCGCTACATATCTTATCAATTTGCTTCCTAGTAAAGTTATCAAATTTGAAACACCTATTACACGACTCCTTGGTGTCACACCCAACTACACATCTCTTCGTGTTTTTGGTTGTGCATGTTGGCCCAACCTCAGACCCTATAACACACGCAAACTTGCTTTTCGCTCCAAAAAGTGTGTCTTCTTAGGCTATAGTCCCATGCACAAAGGAGTTAAATGTCTAGATGTTCCTACTGGTAGGGTCTACATATCCAGAGATGTAGTTTTTGATGAGTCAGTGTTCCCTTTTGCTTCTCTTCATCCCAATGCTGGTGCACTTCTCCGCAAGGAAATCCTTCTTCTTCCTCCACATCTTCGGTCTTTTGATCATGGGGGCGACAGTTGTACTAACCAAAGTGATGATATTCCTGCTGGTATTGGTTCTTCTCTGTTGCCTGTACAGGTCCCTGGTGAAAACGGCGCTCAAAATGATCAAAATTTTGAAAATCAAGCTCAAGATCATCTTATATTTCATGCTGAGGAAGGAGACGAACCTAGCACAGATGACGAAGCTGATCCGGCGGCGCCTGCAACTCCTGTTCGTGCGCAGACCTCGGATCCCGCGGCCAAATCAGCCTCGGATCGCGCTCCCACCAACCGCAGCGCTGATTCGGCAGCAGGCGGGACCAGCTGCGGGGTCGGCTGCGGGGCCGAATCCGCCTCGCCCAGCGCGCGCCACTCCCACGCCGCCACCTCAGCAGCAGGCGGGACCAGCCATGGGGCCGAATCTCCCTCGCCCAGCGCGCGCCTGCAACCGCGGTCGGGCAGTCGATCCGCTGTGCCGGCTCGGGCGGCTGGCACCCGTGTGGTGGACACACAAGCGGCCACACCAACGGCTACAGGATCCTCTGCGCAGGTGGCGCCAGATTCGCCTGTGTCATCACATGCAGCTTCCTCGGGATCTTCTGCGGCGAGTGCTCCTGTGGTCCAGCCAGCAGTTTCTTCACGAGTTATGACTCGATTACAGAAAGGTATACGAAATCCTAAAATAAGAAAAGATGGGACTATACCATATGGAATGTTGTGTATTTCAGGAGAACCAACAACATTGAATAGTGCACTTGATGATCCTAAGTGGAAGAAGGCAATGGATGAGGAATATTCTGCACTTATGAGGAACAAGACATGGCATCTTGTACCAAATCAGAAAGGTAAAAATATCATCGATTGCAAATGGGTTTACAGAATTAAAAAGAAGGCAGATGGCTCCATTGACAGGTACAAAGCACGTCTCGTTGCAAAGGGTTTTAAATAACGTTATGGTATTGATTATGAGGACACTTTCAGTCCTGTTGTTAAAGCTGCAACTATCAGACTTGTGCTAGCCATTGCTGTATCCAAGGGTTGGAGTCTACGACAGCTAGATGTACAGAATGCGTTTTTGCATGGCATTCTAGAAGAGGAAGTATTTATGAGACAACCACCTGGTTATGAGGACAACAAGTCACCACATTATGTTTGCAAGCTTGACAAGGCACTCTATGGTTTAAAACAAGCACCCAGAGCATGGTACTCCAGATTGAGCTTACAGTTGAAATATCTTGGTTTCATTGCCTCCAAAGCTGATACATCATTGTTTATTTATAACAAGGCTGGAGTAGTCATTTTTGTGCTTATATATGTTGATGATATCATCGTTGCAAGTTCTTCATAAAATGCTACTAATGCACTTCTGCATGATTTGAGCTCAGAGTTTGCCTTGAAAGACCTAGGTGATTTGCATTTCTTCCTAGGTATTGAGGTCAAGAAAACTCAAGATGGAATTGTGTTAAATCAGGAGAAATATATCACTGAGCTTCTGTCTCGCATGGGGATGAAGAATTGCAAGTCAGTTCCTACACCTTTGTCTTCCTCAGAAAAACTTTCAGCATATGAAGGTGTGCCACTTCAGGAGGAGGAAAGTACAAGGTATAGGAGTACTGTGGGAGCATTACAATATTTAACTCTCACACGTCCAGATATCTCATTTGTTGTAAACAAGGTTTGTCAATATCTGCATGCACCTACTTCTGCACATTGGTCAGCTGTCAAGAGAATTGTAAGATATGTAAAGCATACTATGGGAATAGGACTTCATTTCAAACGGTCTAATTCCTCTCTTGTGAGTGCATTCTCTGATGCTGACTGGGCAGGATGCAGTGATGACAGAAGATCAACTGGAGGCTTTGCAGTATTTTTTGGGTCTAACCTTATTTCTTGGAGTGCCAGAAAGCAAGCCACCATGTCACGGTCAAGCACAGAAGCTGAATATAAGTCCTTGGCAAATGCAACTGCAGAAATCATTTGGGTTGAATCACTTCTTGAGGAATTGGGAATCAAGAAGAATCGTATCTCATGTTTATGGTGTGATAACTTGGGAGCAACATATTTGTCCGCAAATCCTGTGTTTCATGCAAGGACAAAGCACATCGAAATTGATTTTCACTTTGTGCGAGAAAGGGTTGCAGCCAAGAAACTCGAGATACGGTTTATTCCCTCCAAGGATCAAGTAGCAGACGGTTTTACAAAGGCATTGCCATCAAGACCATTTGAGGAGTTCAAGAGTAATCTTAATCTAGGGTAGTTAAGATTAAGGGAGGGTGTTAGAGAATATGTTTCCGTAGCATCTCAAACTCCTTTCCTTCTCCTACTCAAACTCCTTGTAATATTTCTTGTACTCCAAGCTTGGCTTCGGCCGCATCAATCAATATAAATAGAACCGCGGCTCCCCTCGAGGGAGTAGGAACGCTTATTATCTTTCAGGCACGACCCGGCCCGGGAAGGCACGATTATTATACGGGCCGTGCTGGCCCGCGTGCTGCAGCCTGCAGCCCAGGCACGGCCCGTATGCTAATCAGGTCGGCCCACCGGTACACTAGGCCCGCTAATCTGCCTCCTATTTTGCGCACTGGGCGTTTTTAACCTATTTTTACTTGTTGGGCCACATTAGGATACGTAAAAAATAAAAAAAAGATAATCAGGCCGTGCCGTGCCGGCCCGCGTGCTCGGTCTTTAGGCCCAGGCACGGCCCTTGGCATGCCTAGCCCGTTTAGCACGTGCCGTGCCGTGCTGTCCATGCTATCGGGCCGGCCCAGCTATCCCGGTCCGTTTGACCACCTATACCTAGTACTACCTCCGTCTCGGTGAATAAGTCATTCGCGTAGTTTTAGGTCGGCGATTTAACTATCTAAATATGTATTATATGTGACAAAAAATATATATTTGAAAACTACATCCGTGTAGAAATCTAGTGATATACTTTTCGTGACATATAACACATATTTAATTTCTCAAATCGATGATCTAGAACTACGCGATGACTTATTCACCTAGACGGAGGTAGTGGCAGTCTTCGTGGAGCCCTGGCTGCTGCCTCTGCATGCAGAGGGAAGATTAAGGCGGCAACCAATGGGACTAGTAGAGCGCCGCCGCCGACGTTCCCAAAGCCAAACCAACGGCCTCGCGTGGGGCCCTCCGTCATCAAGCAAAGCGCAGCACAGCAAAGGATTCTCCCCCAAAGTTTCAAACAGCAGTCCTCCGCCCACCACCACCAGCCAGCGCCTCGCCGCGCGGCCGCCGCTAGCTCGCTCCGGCACTCGCCGCCCTCCGGCCCGACCCCGCCGTCGCATTGGCCTCGACGGCCGCCTCCTCGCTCAGGTGCGTCCTCGTCGATTCCCGGGGAAAACCCTAGCCGCCTCCGCCCGTCGCCGTCGCTGTAGCACGGCCGCCGAGCGCCGCGATTGCTGGTCGCTCGCTCCAGCTCCCTAGCAACCAACCGCTCAATCCATTGCCTTATTGCCTTCTATTTCCTCTTTGGTTCTGACGATTTTGCGGGCTGCGCAGGATGGCGGGGGAGCTCCGCGGCGCTCTCTGCCGCACCCCGGCGAAGGCTCCCGCATCCGGGGTCGGGAGCGACGAGAACGCGCGGCCTGCCGGAGCTTCGACTCCCGCCCCAGCGGAGCCCGTCGCGGCCTCCCGGCCCCCCCTCCGCGCTATCCAGTCACCGGGGCAGCCCCGGCGGCCGGTGCCGACGCCCAAGAAGGGTCTGAGGGTCAGGGCAGCGGGCAAGACACCGGCGCGGGTCGGCGCGGCGACCACTCCCCTTCGCCCGACCAAGATCCTGGGGGAGCCGAAGCCGGTGCCGAGGTTGGGGTTCACGACGACGGGGGCCAGTTCTGCGCAGGTCCAACGTTCCAAGCTCCGAGGCTCCATCTTGCTCCGGGAGGAGAATCGCAGTGTGCAGGTGAAACACATCTACTGCTATCACCCCTGTTCCTTTTTTGTAAGGTTAAAACTGAGGCTGCTCACTGTTTTCAATTCATATATGACCTTCAACACTCTTTGAAAGATTACAGAACATCCCAGTGATAAATAAAAGACAGTGTAACTGATAGGATTTGGATATTGCAATGATAGAATCAAACATTCCAACAGATTGCATTTCCCTCATCCTTCATATTCATCAATTTGTTATCCTTCTTTTCCATCACTAACCATGTGTGGTATTGTGCCTCCAGTGCCTTCTAAGTTTGATTTTGCACCTAGAGATGCCACATTGCACTGCCAAGTCCCAAAGCACAACAACCCGATGTCTAATATGCGCAGTAGCTTTCAAATTTATTTGTGCTCGTCCATTGTGGTGGTGATGGAAATAACAAAGATCTTAACGCTGTGCTATTTAACTTTGTGGACAGAATGTTTCGTCAGCATTGCAGCAAGATGACTCTCATGCACCTGCAAAGGAACAAGACAACTCAGAAGATGCATTGAGCCTGCAGCTGGAGTTGGCCATAACCAAAACAATTCTTCTGGAGGAGGTAAAAGCCCGAGCTGAAGCTGACGTCAGGGAAACTGCTGTAGGTGATGAGCTGAAAGCAGCAAATTTACGTACCCTTGAAGCTTGCAGGCAGAAGGAAACCACAGAAAAAGAACTGAAATACACAACATCTGTTTTAGAGGCCCTTGAATCGGAGCACGTTGTTTTGATAAAGGAACTAGAGGAGCTGAAGAAGAACAATTTCCAAAGCCCGGTATTTCGTAAGAAGAGGGACGTGGAAACTCTGATGTTAAACACTGAGCTTGAGCAAGAAATGGATGAAATCCACAGGCAGGCTATGTGTGAAACGTCTGAGGTGATTATATCCTTACAAAAATAGCTGTTGTCACTGCAACAACAGCTAGATGACTGCAACAAAAAAGAGTCATTGGTCGCCAAACAAAGCCTTGATGAAGCTAAGAGAATAGAGATTTTGTTGGATCAATCCATCGAAATTCTTGTGCAGAAGGAGGTTCTTGAACAATACTTTGTTTCATTCGTGAGGGGGATGGAAGAAGAGACTCGTCAGCTCGAGTCCAAACTAGACCAGTCAAATAGATTCTATGAAGGTAGAATTAAAGAACTGGAGATAAAGATGCAAGAAATGAATTATCAGGCTGGAGTGTTACTTATTTCATGGAATAAAGAAAAAGAGGTAACCCTTTGAAAGGCAATTAGGCTTACCGCATCGGAGTTTTTGTCTTTTCATATAGATTTCTTCTTCTTTGAACAACGAATTATGGCAGTGACATTCTTTGCGAACCACCTATTAGTTAGGATGCAAGCATTTTTGGTTGTTCTGACTTCCAGTCATTCTCATTATCAGATAGTGATGCTTTGCAACATGTTCATTTCTTCTTATCTAAGGCATACTATTAGTTTGGATAGCTTTGAGGTTGTTAGTTCGTTGATTTCACGCAATTCTCTATGTTGTTTATAAAGGCTCACACAGAAAATTATGTATATATTCTTCTTTATGAGTGCTTTTGCTTTTTATCCTTTTTTGGGTGTATGGTAGATTAAAAATACTAAATGCCATACTTACATCAATATTATATGTTGCATTATGGGAGTTCCTTAAACTTACGCATGAGAATATCTTTACAGCATATCTATAAATACATTCAGATTTTAGTATTTGTCCAAGAAGGACCTACAAACAGCGCAATTAGGCATGGACGAAATATTTATGATTGTTATAACCCTTCCATTTATAATTATATTATTTTGTAGATATCAGAGGAAAGGAAGACATATGCTGAAGAGAAAAATAAAGTAATCAAGCTATTGGAGATGTCTAATGAGGATGGCCAGATTACTGTGTGTTCATTAGAAGAAAAGGTAAGTTTGCCACTGCTGGTATGTTAATAGTTTTGATTGGTCACTTATTTTTCTTTCCGAGCACTGATTTTTTTTTCTTTTTTTCTAAGGTGAAATTACTCGAGGAAGAAGCAGAACAACTCAAAAGGCAACAGGAAAAACTAGAAATGGAGCTGCAGAATGCCAGGCAAGAATTGCTAGTTGTGCCATCCTCTAGGGAAGCAAAGAGCTCCCTGGAAGACAGAATGGTTGATTCACCTGACCCAACCAGGTTTGCTGGTTCTGAATTCTGTCACCAGACATCTGTGTTTACAGAAGTAAGGGAAATAACAAACACTCACCTTGATCTCTTGCAGGTACCCGAGTAATATAAACAATGGGGTACTGCGTTCTCAGGAGAGTAGAATAGGTCGAAAGGAGCCTTTTGAAGCAGAGGTAATGATGGCATTCTTTGAAGAGCAAATGCAAGGAAGCTATGCAAGCTCATTTGAAGGTATATTCAAAGAAGCTGCAGACGATTCTCTTGTTGCTTCACATTTTCTTCCACACATTACAAGCCAAATAAAGCCAAATCCAAATGCAGTTGAGGAGGCAGTTGACCTAGACACTATAGCTGTTGAGTCAACTCCTCTAGTGGAACACCAAGAGGAACCTGGTGAGCCTTCTTCTGATGAGTGCATGCATGAGGCCAGCCCATCAGATTTAGAGATGGCAAAGGCAATTTCATTAGAAAAGGATTGCTGGTCAGAGAACTCGGAGTTTGAGCACCCCAGTGCAAGCGTGGAGCTGGAGCAGTCTATTGCAAGTAAGCAACCTGATTTATTTGGAAATGTAGGGAAAGGCTGCGTACAATAGACCCAAAGTGGTCGGACCCTTCCCCAGACCCTGCGCAAGCGGGAGCTACATGCACTGGGGCTGCCCTTTTTTAGTGCAGGTAGTGATCAGTCCATGTCTGTATGTGATTCAGAGGAGCAAGTGACGCCTCCAGCTGTGGAGTCAGTGGTAGAAGTTCTGAAGGAGAATGAGTTGCCTCCAGTTTCTCTAGTGCGTCCCAATGATCCGGTGAAATACACTTTAGCCACTTGTGATGAGCTGAAGAGGCTCAGAAGCAGGAACCACTATGAGGGTGATAGGACAGCAACAGACAGGAGATTCTGGTCCATTGAGCAGCAGGACTTGTACAACTCCATATACCGTAGGGCCGAGTTGTTTACTATGCAGTGGATAGACTGGGAGTACATCGATAGCATAGATGAGTTTTCTTGTGTCAGACAGAGATGTGCCCATGTGGGGCTTGAGCAGATCATGAGGTACCATTGTGATTGGGACAACGAATTGATTAGGCAGTTTTACTCCACAGTTCATATCAGCGACGACAATAGCTCTATTACTTGGATGGCAGATGGCAGGAGGATAACTACAAACAAGAGGGCATGGGAGGAGATGTTTGGCATTCCTGGCAGTGTTCACACTGCAATAATTCACTCAGAGTTTTTGCTTGATGATGATGACAAGAGGATCATGTACACAGCTGCAGAATGCACAGTAGGCCAAACCAGGGGCCTCTCTCAATTGGCTAGCATAGCCAATAAGATTATTCGGAAAACCATCTATCCCAGGTCTTATAGAAGTAAAGTCCAGGGATACAACTGGAACCTCCTACGTCATATTGTGGAGCAGCATCCATTTGACATCATTGCTTTGATCTTCGACGAGATTAAGTTGCTTATTTCAGATCACAGCCGCACTTGCCTCTTGTATGCACCATACATCATGGGGATGATCATGCGAGCTTTTGAATATGATGGACCTAGAGAAACCAGGCACGATTCCTACAAGCCCAGGCCCGACAAGTCAAAGCAGACAAAAAAAATTAGTCGTCCACTGGCACCTGCAGTAGTTGCACCTTCTGAGCCACCACCTTCAGCATGTCAGCCGGAGGTAGAGGCCAATGTTGAGGCAGATGACCACAGCCAGTTCGAGGAAGCCGGACACCGGCCCCAGGGAGAGGCAGTGCAGCATACCAATGCCTCCTTGTCTTCTCAGATCCTAGCTCCACGCTCCTCCCTGACACCTTCCCTTGAGGCTACCACTCCCTCACCGCCTCCGGCTCCAGCTGCATTTCCTGAGCAGGCCAGCATGATGCACGCCGGCCTCCGGTGCTTCAGCTCAGCCAGCTGTTTTGGGGCCAAGTCCTTTTAGTCACTTTAGTTGGTATCAAAGAGATAAGTGATGGGTTTATGTGCTGTCCTTGATGTCTACCTTGCACTCGTATTCTGGTTATTTTGTCTATATATATCTTGGACTTGTTCACCATGTATATTCTTCTATCAAGAAAGACCTTGAGAAGAGCGTATCGAGACTTGAGAAATCAGTACTATGTTAGGCATATGTGTGCCCACTCTGTCTTGTGTGCACTTAGTCAGGGTCCTTGGTCTTGTGAATTATATATGTGTATGATTTTGCAGCTTTTGATCTTCTTGCATTGTGGGTTAGGAATTTGGTTAATGTGTTCAGAGTCAGGGAGGAACAAGCTCCTATTCAGCAGCATCAAGTTGAGTTATTGGCTATTGATCTTGGCTCAGGCTTCACTTTTGTAATTGTGCTCCTGTCCTGTAAAATAATCTTCATGTGTCCATACTCGAGAAAAATGTGTCCAGGAACTTATGATTCTGAATATCGTAGTCTGATTCAGGAAGACCCTTTTTTCGAAGGTAAATTCAAAGTGTGATCTTTCAAATTTTGGTATGGTTCAGGTCCTTGTTCTGAACATTCAGAGCTTCGGCAATTCTCACATCGAACTTGTGATGCAGAAGAATGGTCCAGGATCAGATGGTTAGCGACTTGGCCAGTGAGGGGTGCTAGCTGTGGGATGGGCCACATGGTGGTGAGCATCAGCTGCTTGCGAAAATGCTTGCGCAGGACAAGAACCGGCTGGCATGGCATGTGTTGGTTCAACTTGGGACTTGGCTTCTGGGCTTTAAAATTCTTCGCTGGGCGCCGTCAGGTGGTATTTGGTGCCTGATTTGATCTGGTCTTGAGTTTGTGCTGGACATGCAGTTAGGGTAGTTAGTAATAGATACCTCCTACTCTGGTCTTGAGTTTCTAACCGGTTGCTGGAATCAGTGGAATATGGCTAAATTTCATCATGATATTTGTTTGTGGTCCTCTCTAGCACATTGAAGTACAGTTTCAGGAAGCTGTTATTGTGTGTGTGTGTGTGTGTGTGTGTGTGTTTTGCATAGATGGGCATGTCAAGTGTACATTTGGGGGTGCATGTAAGTGCCTCATTTTAGACCTAAGTTTCAGTACTTTTTGCATCAAACTGGTGGTGCTCAGAGCGTCATATACTCATTCAGATGCAGTATGCATGAGTGATTACATAGTCCTGAATATTTATCTGTGAAATGCGACGAAAGAATTCGTTGCATCCTAACGTGAGCAGAATTCTTGCAGCTAAAATATCAAGGTTCTTAGTTTGATCACCTCTTGAGCACTGGAGTGTGCCTCTGTAATATGCAAGACTGGGGCTTTGATTGATTCAGTTCAATCACAGAAATCTGCCAGGTGTGCTCTTATTTCCCAGTGTCCAGGACTTTCAGTTGGAGACCTACCTGCTGCTGCCTTCGCCAGAATGGTATTATCTGTAAGAAATTTGGCATCTTGTAAGTGCATTTGCTTTGCTATGGTACCCGCAATCTTTTGTGCTTGAGCTTCCGCCAGCATTCTGGTCCTGACGTCGAGATCTGTATCCTCTTTTGGTAATCTGTCTTGAATTACATGCAGATTCCAATCCTTGTGCATTGGTGAGCTTGAGTGTTACCTGAAGATTGTCCCTTCCTTGTTGCATCTGTATAGATCTTGTTTCCTACCAATATAATGCCTGGCTCCCTGTTCGGGTTTATTCTGCTGGTGATCCGTGCGTGACCCCTGTTTTACTTCATCTTCTGCTGTTGTTCAGCTGTATTTTCAAGCGATAAACGAATGCTTATGGCTTGCGCTTTGTAGTAAAGCTGCAACAACCAGTCATTCCTTGATTTGCAGAACTAGCTAGGTGCATGGTTGTTTCAGTTATTCTGTTTGAGCCATGACTAAAATAATCTCATCTTAGACACCAAGGGTTAGCAAATAAGTTCCAGTACTGAACAAGCAGCTCCAGAACAGAACAGCGAGCTATTTCATTTCTGAATAAGCCAGTTCCAGGGCTGGATGGTTCAATATTAATAGTTTTTTTTTCTTTGACTTGGTTGGGTGCGCTGGCTATTTACACGGTTTCTTCCACTGCTATCCTATATGGGGGTCTTTGGAACCGCCATGATGATCTGTTGTTTGACAAAGATCTCTGGATCAATGTTACTTCTCTGTTTCTCAGGGGAATGGAGGTTGCCGCACAAGGATGGAGGAGTCACTGAATGCTTACCAGATATGCTACTTGGGCTTAACAAGCGTTGGCCTGGCTTGAGCAAAGCAACAACCATGCAATGCAGCTGGAGGAGAATTAATGATCTTGCTGTGCTGTATCTGTGTCCTGTCTTGCTCCCAGTTCGAAGGTAATTCGAAAAATTCCTATGTTTTAGACTTTAGGTCCTTGTGTGAACATTCAGAGCTTCAGTAATTTTCAGGTAGCAGATGGTCCGCCGCTTGGCCAGCAAGGGGCGCCAGCTGCGGCACGGCATACTGAGCTAGACTTGTTTGAGGCGTGCGGCAAGGCTAGTGTCAGCACCACGCCACTCCTATATGCGTGATGGACTCCGATAACTTTTGCTATGATATATTTTTTTCCGGAGCTTGAGTCAACCGCATAGCACATTGAAGTACACTTTCAGAAATCTGCTAAAGAGTCTTGCGAAGGAGCGGGTTGGCATGGTAGGTGTCGGTTCGACTTGGCTTGTCGGCTTTAGAATTCCTTGCTGGAGGTCGTCAGGTGGTGTGTGGCACATTGAATTCTTCACTCCTTTAGTTGTGCTCCTGTACATAAAGAATGGCCATGTCCATGGTCTTACAAGTCATGGAAAATATGTCCCTCCGTAACTAACGGTTCTGAATATCGGAGTTTGATTCGCGAAGACCCTTTGTCTGAATATATAAATTCAAAGCGTGATCTTTCAAAATCTGCGCTGGTTCAGGTCCTTACTCTGAACATACAGAGCTTCAGTAATTCTCACATGAAACTTATGATGCAGAAGCACAGTTCAGGACTCAGGAGCAGATGGTTAGCCGCTTGGCCATTGAGAGGCACCAGCTGTGGCGTGACATACCTCAACCGAAACTTGTTTAATTTCCAGCACCGGCGAGGATGTGCCGGCGCCACGTCACTCCTACATGCGCCCAGTTCATGGGCTGCTGTGATGCGCTTTATCTGGGATGGGAATGAACGTTGTGTTGTGCTCTAGTTTCTCAGAGGTACGCTTGCCCTCTCACTTTTCTTACCGAGAAAAGGCTTTCGCCCCGCTTTATATTATGAAGCAAACCGCCAAAGCCAAGCATCCAATAAGGTTCACACACACATGTCTCACAAACATAAAGGTAACCAAGGGTTAGTGCTGAGGGCATAGCTCAACAAGCCCAGAAAACAGAAAAACTCGCACACACGGCGGCCCAAACAGAGGAACTAGTCGGGCTCCAGGGGAGGAGGCGGCAGCGGAGGCGCCATGCGGAAGGCCATCGATCGAAGGTCGGCGAGGAGAGTGTTGATGGCGTCTCGGTTCTGAGGGCGGCCTAAGCGGCCGCCAGAGCTGCAAGTAACCACACATTTTGAATATAGCGTTAGTTGCACGTCAAAGAGGAACTTTCTGAATGACAAGCTTATTGCGAATGGTCCAAAGCGTCCAGGCAAGAACCCCAACACATAGCCATCTAATATGGCGGTAGCAGGGTGGGGAGGCGTGGATTTCAGCAAGTCAGAGAAGTTGGTGTTGCACCACTGACCACCGAGCGTCTCGTGGAAACAGGACCAAAGAAACTGGGCTGTGGAGCAAGAGAAGAAGATGTGGTTAGCATCCTCCACCGTGCCACACAGGAGGCAGATCCCATCTCCAGGTCCATTATGCTTAAGGACCTTCACCCCAGACGGGAGGCGTCCCCGGATCCACTACCATAAGAAGATCCTGATTTTCAGGGGCAAGCGGATATCCCAAATCATGCTAAAGGGCTCGAGGGCCGGCGAGGGGGCAATGGCCGCGTAGAGGGGTTTAGTGGAAAAGCAGCCGGAGGGCTCCAGTCGCCAACAGATGGATCTAGGGATGTCCTCAACGTTCATCGGGAGGAGGGCGATGTCAAGGAGGAGAGCATCCCATGCGGCCATTTCAGGCGGACCAAAGGGGCGACGGAAGGCGAGGCGCCCTAAGTCAATAAGGGTCGTCTCGACAGAGACCCGAGGGTCCACCGCAATGGCAAAGAGCTCTAGAAACCGCGCGGCCAGGGGGAGGTCGCCGATCCACCGGTCAAACCAGAACAGGGTCAAGGACCCGGTGCCAACCAAGATGGACGTGCCGATGCGAAGCACAGGTAGCAACTGGATGACGGCCTGCCAAAACTAGGAACCACCAGATCGCTGACAGAATGCGAGTGGCTGGCCCCGAAGGTACTTGTTCCGGATGATGGTGAGGCCAAGACCGCCATCTCCATTGGCGATGCGCCAGAGCCATCGGGTCAGGAGGACAATGTTCATGCGCCGGGAGGACAAAATCCCAAGGCCCCCCTGGTCTTTGGGTTTGCAGATATCGGGCCAGCTCACCATATGGTACTTCTGCTTATCACCCTCACCAGCCCAGAAGAATCTGGATTGGTACTTGGTGATCTCCTGATGAAGCGTCTCATGAAGGCTATAGAAGCTCATGAGGAACCAAAGAAGGCTGGCAAGCGAGGAGTTGATGAGGATCACACGGGCGGCCTTCGACAGTCACCGCCCTTTCCAGGGCTCAACCCGATGTTGCATCCGGGTCACCGTGGGGCGAAGGTCAGCCACGGTGAGGCGCGAATCACTAATGGGGATCCCCAAGTAGGTCGTGGGGAAAGAACCTAACCGACAGTTCAGTCGGTTCGCAATATCCGGAGCTTCTGCCGGAGAGTACCCAAGAATCATCACTTCGCTCTTATCGAAGTTGATTGTGAGCCCCGACATCTGTTGGAAGCACAGGAGGAGGAACTTCACGTTAGCAATGTCCTGAACCATACCCTCCACCATTATTATGGCATCGTCC